ATGTACAAACAACTCAAAAGAAGTAAGCATTTTCTTTCATGAACTATACTTGGAAGAGTGCTAAGTCATCTTTGCCGGTTGGCCCAATTCCAGAGACTGGCTCTCTCTCGGGGAGCAACGAATATCCTAGGATAATCCTAAAATGTAGATGCTCACTTTGAAAGTCTGATGTAACTGACAGATGTGTGAAATGGCACACAGAAAACTCCCCATGGGGACAATGAAAATGCTAGGGGGTAACAGTTCAGCAGGGATGACAATAAGCCAAACTGTCTTCTCATTTTATGTGACCCATTTTCTGACACAGAAATTTATTTCTGTGATATATGAGAGTACGCACATGTAGATAAGCCTGTTTTTAAAGTAAATGCCAAAATTACAAAGACTTAAAGTCTGCCTTCTGAGAAAGCTGACATAGACATACACCTTAGTTCTATGTGAAAAAGCAGCCTTTTCTTTAAATGGTAAATGGCAAGTGTTCTGCCTTTGATCTATGGATTTACATCAACCTCAAACCAATGAAATTTTGAAAAGACAAATAGAGATGAGAAAAATCACAGTGGTGAAAGATAGATTTAAGTAATTAGCTCCCTTTGTTTAGAATATAAATTATCTTCTAACCTCTGACTTCACCCAGTGCCACATTAAATAAAGGTCACAATGTTTCAAAATGTTAAGATTTTAGTATTATTACAGGACTAGAGATGAGTAAGAAAGTAATTGAGTTTGCAGCTATGAAACTTCAGACTTGTTTTAGGGATCCTCTGCCTGAATTTGCAGTTCTGAAAAACCTATTTTAAGTTAAGTGATAAAGCCCCTCTCTGGGCTCCTGGACGGACGTTCGTTCACCTTTTTATTTGTAGCGTCGGGGGAGAGGGAGGCCCTCTGCCCCCTAGCGGCGGGCTCGAGGCTGGGCTTCGGGAAGGTGCAGAAACCTCACTGCCCAGGCCCTTCCCCCACTAGCCCCCTCCCTTCTGAAAACTCCAGTCGATATCTCATTGAAAGCATTTGCTCTTATACACACCAATCTGGATCAAGTTTCCTTTCATATGATGTGACAGCCTTTGGCAGCCTAATCAGCCCTCCACAGCTGACGCAAGAATCAGATCAGATCGACGCACTGTCATTGGTCAGCGCGGCTCTGCATGGTAAGTAAGAGCAGGGACGGGGCAATGAGACAGTGAGGACAGATGTGGGTGGGAGGGGCTTCAGACTCGGGGAAGACAGCTGGAAAACTTTAGACAAAGAAGGACAGTTTAAAAGTGAGTAAGAGGATGCTAGGAAATGCACCACCTGGCACTTTCTCCTGGTCGTTAGAACCCCTGCAATCGGTCCCTTCTGCTCCCGTTCGGCCCCCAGAGTGTCACCCACCTAAGGGGGCAAATGCAAAAGATTCCAAGCCTCGGTGGCTTCTAGCTTTGCCAAGTTTCGGCCCTTCGGGCTAGCTGGGTCTTTCCCACTCCAACCTTTCTCAAATAGCCCTCAGTTTTTCTGTGCGACAGGTGACCTCCATACACACAGGAGGCAATGGAGAAATAATGGCCAGAGTGGAGGTACCATCCACTGATAGCCAGAAAAGTGGCAGGCATTTTGAGAGGTGCTTTACATGTAGAGGCTCCAAGCCTTCACAACAAATGGCAGGTAGGCTGCATTCGAGGAGAGCCACACAGCGACAACCTGCTCTATTTGCAACCCAAACCTAGACCTTCTGATTCCAAGTCACGTTTCTGTCTACTTGGCCTGACAGAGATGGGTTGGCCGCCTCCTCACAGGTCTCCCCAGCCTGTTTCAGACCTGGCTCCTCTTCCTCTCTCTGTATTTCAAGCACCACACAGCACCTCGGAATCTCAGTACCTCACCGGGAGAGTGAACACCTGAAGACGCTTGTGATAAAAACCCTTGGATCTGACTTTCTCAGCAGAATGGGAGGGCATGCTCTCATTCCTTTTAAATTCTTCCCATGAACTAAGTGCCCCGAATTGTGGCGGTCCATGCACGTCCCCCACACTATCATTCACCCCCAATTATTCTCTCTTGGAGGCTCAAATTACTAAATGCAACCCAGCATCTAAGGAACCGATCTTTCCATAATAATAGAATTACTACCGGATGCTTTTTAGAACACAAAAAGGACCTTTATTTCATTATTTTCTTAAATTTCATTTCCAGTCACACATTTGTTATAAGGTAGAATACCAAAGGCAATTTGCAGTCACAGCAACTCCATCAAATACACGCAATCTGAGGTTTTACTGCTTTGAGTGAATTATGGTCCTCTCACGGTTTCCTGGTTAAAGAAGGTAAAACTAAGGTAACAGGGAGAAAAAGAACATTGTTCTGTAGGAATTTTGTTGAACTCAATAACCGTTCATTCATAGGTGCAGGGTCCATTTTTAAAAAGGAAACTCTAAAATTCCTAGAAACACAAGACAATATTGGTATTTGGGGGATGAATACGCATTCCTATTTTTGTGTGTGAAAGTTTGTGCAATTAGACAACATGGAAAATGTTATTTGTTACCACAGCCAATGAAAATACATTTTCATTTATTTCTACATAGGTTAAACATTTCCATCTCCCCTTTTATGATCTGCAAAAAAGCCATATGTCTAGGTTATGAAACAACTACAGGCAACAGTAACTGAAAAGGAGTTTAACAGTCTTAACCACATACCCCTGGGATGAATAATACACTTTGCATAATCATGTGCAATGCAGGGTGATGATTTTAGATCTCTTGTAACTACAAGGGTTTGCAAGCTTGTATGTCATACAATATGCCCCAAATCCAGTCAATTCAGTCAGTCAAGCAAAAATCTAGATGGGTAATCTACAAATGGCAAACAACCTGTTTGACTAAATTGACCATGTTTTTGTTAATATAAGGACACAATCATTTAAGGTACCCTGTAAGTGGCTATTTGTTGCAATTAATTTTCTCCCCTCAGGCTCCTAGAAATTGGCTTAATTGCTTCTTAGGCCCAAGGAAAAGGCATTAGACAAAAGACAAACATATTAGAAACATAAAAACAAATACTGTGCTCTGTGCACATTCCCAGTAGTATGCTAGATTTCTCCATAGGAGAAATGTCAAAAAAAAAAAAAACACAACAAAGTAAATAAGGGATATAGCAGAAATATAGGATTATCTAATGCCTAAAATTTTATCTTACTCCAGTGACAGGTGTAAATGTTGATCAAAATTCCCTTTATTTACTTTGTGTGTGTGTGAACCTTTGAATAGTGCACTTTCAAGAGTCATTACCCAAGAGTGAAGGTTTACACACCAGGCAAGCAGTGTACTTCAGCTCAGTGCATCTACTGGCTGCTGTCAGGGCTGGGGAGCTTGAAGCAAAGAGTGAATTCCTTTTACAAAATGACTTGTTCTGCAGACAAAAGGCATCAACTGCAGAACTCTCTGAAGGGCGGAGTATGGATCTTCTTTGGCATATTAAATGCTCCACACACTGTTTTTCTCCTGTGTAAACGATCCTTAGGACCACTCCTTTTTATTTAGATAGCGCGCTTTTCATCTTTTAGTGTAATCTTGCTATGTGTTAGGGAGTCCTCACAGTGAACTTGAGATAAGAACTATTACTGAAATTTGAAAATACAGATAAATAGAAGGTATTACTGATAATATATTCATTGAGGTGTCAGGTCAGTGACAAATTTCTAAGGTTTAAAAGATTGTCAGTTTCCTGATTATCTAGTAAGTCTGAGGTTCGGTCCCACGGGTACATGGAAAGCAGGCTGAATCCTGGCTTAAGTTCTTCTAAAGTCCTTTCATGTCATTTTTTAGGGATCTTTGTTCCTACCCAAACTTCAACAGCAAGGGAAGAGAAACAGGATTATTTTTCTTTAATAACAGTTGTTAGGGTTCTTACTGCATTTTGAAGATTTTTGGTGAAAGGAGCTAGTTCTCTTGGTTGCTTTATATATTAGCACACAAAGGAATTACAGATGGAAGAAGAGTGCAGACGACTATCGGAAAAAGTCTCATGCATTTAAGATTTTTTTACAAGTCAAAATATACAGCCTCTTATGCCCTCCAATCCTTAATTGTATAAGAACCATTCCTATTTCATCAACCTCCTTTACATTTCACTGAATTAGATAAGGAATAAAGATATTTTTCTTGTTCAGGAGCAGTGTGTATCTTATATTTTTCTATTTAATCGGTTGCATTAATAAGAAATACAGCAGCAGCTTGGGCTGAGTCACCCATCATATCCTCCTTCTATGGGGATTTAAGTGTGTAAAATGACAGGTACAGGAAATTAGGAAGAAAAATAAAGTAATCGGCAGACTTTGGCACTAGCACACATGTTCTGCTTGAGTTCTTAGAAACATGGCCTGACAATCAGGAAATAAGAATCTTAAAATTACAGATCCGCAGAGAACAATCAATCATAGGTGCTGGCTCTCAGTTTAACACTCCCCTCTCGTCCCACCCACCCACCCCACACAGGTCCAATTATAGTAAAAATAGAGATCTTAGCATCAGCATTTTGCTACTAACTCTTCAGGATTCCCCTGCCTCACCCAAGCCACCCACAAGGTTTGAAGCACCGAGTCCACAAGTTTCTCCAACCCAATTTAAAAAAAAAAACAAAACCTGAAGACTGAAGAATGCCAAAATAACTCTTCTTAAATGAAGCTGTTAACACAAAGTTCCCCCGGAACACAGGGCGTCACGCGTCTAGTTCAAGGACTGCCGGGCTGTATGCAGACTGCTCGGGCTCCCGACAACTACAAGCACCCCGGGCTCTACAGGGCACTCTCCGCGGCTCCGGGGCAGCGCACGGGCGCCCTTTCCGTCTCGGGCCTTTAGAAAGTCGCAGCCCCCTTGGGCCGGCGGCCGCAGGCCAGGCTGAGCCTGGGGCTTGAGGGGAAGAAGGGAGCCTCCTTCTCAGCAGGGAAGCGCTACCCTCAGCTGGAACCGTCCTCAGAGCTCTCTGGGGCTGCCTGGCTTCTGGGGCCGTGGCCCTCGCCCTGCAGAGAGCCTCACTCCGCCCCAGCACCAGTGAAAGAAGGGTCCACCTACCTGTGGGACCAGACAAAACACGGTCCCCAAAGGCCGCCTGGCGACCGCACGGCAACTGACAAGTCACCTTGTGCACTTGAAGCGTATCAATTTGTGGAACGCTTGCTTGAAGTCCTCGTTGGACATGGTGTAGATGACGGGGTTGATGAGGGAGTTGAGATAGCCCAGCCACGTGAAGAAGTCGAAGATGGCCAGGTGGAACCAGCAGGCATCCTTGCAGATGGGCATCACCAGGGAGATGATGAAGAAGGGCAGCCAGCACACGATAAACGCCCCCAAGATGATCCCCAGGGTCTTGGTGGCCCGGCGCTCCCTGGCGGCCGTCAGTTTCTTCTTCTCCAGCAGGGCGTCGGAGACGCGCACCTTGACTTGGTTCACGCACACCGGGGACCCCGATTCGCTGGGCGCGTCGGGAGCCCGCGAGTTGGCGGAGGTGCCCGAGGACGTGGACCCGGGGGAGTCGGTGACCAGCTGCGCGCGGGTGAGACGCTTGCCAGTCCTGTGCGGCGTCTGCTTCAGGATCCGGGAGCGGGCTTCCACGTAGATGCGGCCGTACAGCGCGATGAGCAGCAGCGTGGGCAGGTAGAAGGCGCCCACCGTGGAGTAGACGGTGTAGAGGACGTGGTCGGTGTTCACCACGCAGTCCGACACCTCCTCCTCGGCTTTGGCCTGGCGCCAGAAGAAGGGCGGCAGCGAGATGGAGATGGAGAAGACCCACACGAGCGCGATCATGCCCGCCGCGCGCCGCGGAGTCCGCTTGGCAGAGTACTCCACGGCGTCCGTGATGGCCCAGTAGCGGTCCAGGGCGATGACACAGAGGTGCAGGATGGAAGCGGTGCAACAGGTGATGTCCGACGACAGCCACAAGTCGCAGACTACCTGGCCCAGGGTCCAGCGGCCGGTGACCGTGTACAGGGTGCTGACGGGCATCACCAGGATGGACACGAGCAGGTCGGTAACGGCCAGGGAGGCGATCAGGTAGTTGGCGGGGGTGTGCAGCTTCCGGGTCCGGTGCACGGTGGCGATCACGAAAGCGTTGGAGAGCGTGGTGGCCGAGGTGACGAGCGCCAGCACCGTGGCCAGTAGCACTTTCCCGGGCAGGGCGACGGAGTCCTGGTAAATGTAGCCCTCGGCGCCGCAGTTGCGGGCGGGAGCGGCGGAGAGGTTGGCCGCGGCCAGCGCGGGGTGGGGGCCGGCGGGCAGCTGCGGGGCGCACCGAGCGCCCGGTCCCTCCATGTCTCCTGGCCGCGGCTCCGGGCGCAGTTCCCGGGCATGGAGCGCCAGGGCACAGGGCGGAGGCGCCGCGGAGGAGACAGTCTGTCCCTGGTCCTCACTCAGCTCCGTGGGGTCCTCGACTGCTCCTCCGCCAGGGTTCCCGGCGGAAACTAGCGGCCCAGGGCGCGGCGGCCGCGCGGGCGGCCCCCTCCCCGCCCCTCCGGGCGCGAGGCGCGGAGGCCTGGCGGGCCGGGCGGCCGCTGCAGGGCGAGGTCTGCGTGCGCAGGTGGGGCCTCTCAGCCCAAGCGCGCGCTGCTGAGCGCCGCCCACCCCCGGCGCGCCCGCTTCTGCGGGCTCGGCGCGCAGGAGTTGCCCCGCTGTCCGGACCAAAGCGTGCAGGCCCGCGAGGAGTCCCGGTCGGGCATCCCCGCCGCTCCCCAGGCTGGGCAGGACCAGCGGCGGGGCCGGGGGGCGCCTGGCAGCCGCGCGGCGCCGCGCCTGAGAGCCCGAGCTCCGCCCGGCTCTCAGGCGCGGGTCCCTCCGGCGCGCTGCCCCGCAGGGACGGGGTCGAAAGAGGGGCGCCTGGGGGGCCGGGGCTGCCCGCAGCACGCTGCCGCCACCTCGGTCCCCCGGGCCCCGCTCGGAGCCATGCCGCGGGGCGCACGGGTCCGGGGACCTGGCGAGGACACGGAGAAGGGACAGGTGTCCGGGCAGCCGGAGGCCGCGGCGCGCCAACCCGGGAGCGGCGTGTGAGCGGAGAGCCGCTGGGCTCCTCTTATAGCGTCCGAGTCCCGTCCGCCCGAGCCGTGCGCCCGTGCGGCGCGGCGACGCGGCCGCCGGCTCCCCGCCACCTGCCCGCCCGCCCGGCGCTCCCCGCGCCCGCCCCGCCCCGTCCGAGAGGCTCCCGCCGGGTCCTACCGCCCCTCCTCCCACTCCCACCTCCCACCCTGCGCCCCCGCCCGACCCGATGCCCGGGGCGCCGCAGCTGCGGCCGGAGCGGGGATGGGCGCGTCCGCGCTGGCCTCCGTGCTGCTCCGGGCTTGCCGCGCGCCGCTCCAGTTAGACCCACACGGACCCCGGGGGCGCTGGCACGGCCCGCACGACCCAAGCCCAGCCGGCCAGGGCTGGGGCCGCGCCTGCCGACCACCCGCTCCGGAATGTCGTCAGCCCGGGAGCCGCGCCCGGGGTGGGGGAGGCGCTGACCGCAGCGCCTTAAGGGGACGCGGCCAACGGCGCGGCGGAAACTTCGGGGCTGCGGTTCACACGTGACTCCGAGCACAATACAAACTAATTTTTCCTGTCTGGTTTTAGGAATCTGTGCCTCCCCTTTAACTGTGAGTCAACAGGAAAAACAAGAACAAGCTATGAGCCCCGCAAACCAGCCGACTGTGTGCGGAGCACGCCGCGCGCCCCACCCTCCGCGCCAGCCGCGCGGCACCTGAGCCTGGGAAACGGCTCCTGCGCGCGCCGCCTCCCCCAGCCCGCCCGGGAAGGGGACACCGGGGTGTCGGTCCCGGGGCGCGCGCAGCGCCACGCCCAGGGGCCGGGCACATAGCCCCGACGCTCAGCCCCTTCTCCAGCGCGCACACGGACAGGCGGGGGTATACGGTCAGAAGAGCAGACGGAAGCCCCGGGGAAGGACCCTGTCCGTCTGGCCTGAGCGCCCCAGCCGGGAGGTCCCGGCGCCTGGCGGGGGGCGTGCGGACGGAGAGTGCCCACGGAAGAGCGTAACTGAATTGGGCAGGTTAAGCGCACTGAGAGGTGGCGGGCAGTCCAGAGTCCAGGCCGCCCGGCCCGTTCATTCGGGCCAGGAGAGTAACGGGGACCCTCTGGAAGAGCTTGCCCCCAGCTGACACACCCGGCCCCTGCTTTCCGCTTCTGTCCGTCGGGAGGGGGCACAGACACGGCTCCTCCGCGCGGGGGCTGCCCGCGCCCAGGCCCGCTTCCTACCAGCGGCCCACCGAGGGCACCTACCGTAAGCCTGGGGCCGAGTGCCCACTCGCGGGCGTTCGCTGGCCACCCGGGCCGGAAGGAGGCGGCCCGCGGGCCCCGAGCGAGGGCGCTGCTCGCGGACGCGGCGGCTCCGCAGGACCCCTCCTGCCCTCGCGCGCCCCCCGCCCCCTTAGCGCCTCGCGGCCTGAGCGGCGCGCTCCCCCCCCACCCCGACCCGGGGCGAGGCCGCCGAGCCTGCCGCCAGCGGGGCGCCGCCGGGACGCCGAGGCTGCGCGCCGCGCCCCAGGCGAAGCCGGCCGCCCCTCTCCCACCGTCCGGCGGCGCGCGACTCGCGGCCTCACTCACCGTCCGAGGGGCTGCGAGGCGGCGCCGGCCTTGAGCCCGAGGTCCTCCAGGAGCACGCGGAGTCCACGACCACCTACGCCGGGGCGCCTGCGGCCTCTCCAGCCTTGCCCTGGGCCCCAGGCCCTGGGGGAGGGGTGTCCGCCAGCTCTGGGCGGAGGTCGGGGTCCCCACTCGGGCGGAGCTGCGTGGATACGCCCGGGGCGCCCTCCGACGCGGCTGAGCAGTGGCGGGAGACGCCGCTTCAGTGACTTGGCGGCCTCGTTTCACTCCGTCCTTTTGCGCTTTGAAGCCCAGAAAATGCAGCTGTTGGCACGTGGGCGCGTGCCCGTGGCGCCTGAGCGCGGGAACCCTTTCCCGGGCCCCTGCCGGGCGCCGGGACGCAGCCCGTCTCGGGCTCTTGCCTGAGGGACCTGGCGCGCCAGCCGACAGGGCGGGACGGGTGCCCCGGGGAGGCGCGCAGGTCAGGGGGTGCCCGCTCCCGCGCGCCCTGAAGCTGCCAGTCAGCGCTCCGGGTGGGCGGTCGGCAGCAACCGGGGGCGGGGCTCACTGGGCCCGCGGGGGGTCTGCGACCCGCCCCCCAGCCCTGCCCGGCGCCTGCGGGGTGACGGGGCGCAGCGCAGAGGGCCCAGAGGAGACGGTGCTGGGGACGCGGGCGGGGCGGGAGGGGGTAGCGGGGCTCAGGGTGCGGGGCTGAGCAGCCCCACGCACGCGGAGAAGACCTTCCACCTCCGCGCCACAACCGCGACCCGTGGGACTTGCCGCGACCGCTGGGCCCCAGCGCGAAGCCCTCCAGCCCTGTGCCTGGGGCACGTGGGCCAAGCCAGCAACGCCCTGGAGTCCCCCGCGTATTTCCCAGAGAGCCAGGACCCAGCAAAGGAAGGACCTGAGCGGTCGTCCCGGTTTGGCTGAATCAAAAGCTACGCACCGCACGCTGCGGTCGCCTTGCTCCTCTGACAAAGGCAAGGAATCCTGCACCCTCGAAAAATCCGCAAAAAGCCCCCAGCCACACAGCAGGGGGACCTGGAGAGCTGCTGCTCGCTGGTCCTGCTTTCCAGGCCTATGGCCGCCCTTACCGTCCCACGCTCGCCCAGGAGACGCGCGCAGGAGTCGGGCGAGCACCGTACCTTCTCCTGCGTGGTGGTGGCCTATCCCTCGGGTCGCTCTCAGCTCTCCGTAGCTCTTCCTTAGAAGTGTATCGGTAGTAATGAAAAATGTAAGTCTCATGTCTTGCTTGAACAGACACATACACACATACATATGTACACACACAGGTTTTGCTGACAACGTCTGGGGGCCATCAGCAGGTCCGAGGCTCAGATGTCCGCCCTAGGCCCTGGGCTCGGTGTCTGTGTCCTGGGACTCACACGTTGTGTGCTTGGTAAGGGATTTTTAGCCTTGCCCAATAATAAAACTAAGTGCTAAAACTAAATTAATCCCTGAGAATTAGTAACGCTACTATGTGTTTATGTATGGTTACAAGTCATGTGTAAACTCTGTTTAAGGAAGAATACCGTCAAAAATCAGAGCCGATGTGCATAACATAGACACTTTATCATTCCTGTCTCTGCAGTAACAGTCACTCTGCTGCTGTGAACAGAGACCCACAGCGGGCTGACTGCTGCTGGTTTAAAGCCAGCCCAGTTCCGACTCCCCATCTGGGTCTCTGTGACTGGGGTCCTGGTGGGAGAGCAGGTCTGAGAAGATGGCGAACTTAAAGCTGAAAGTAACAGAGGCCGAGGTGGCGTGGGGGGTGGGGAGGGAAGCACTGAATTTTTCTTCTTGGACCAATAGATTTGGCAATAATGAGAAATCTTTGGATGGAAAAACAATGCCACTGAGTCCTCCAACTTAGAAACAACTTTCTGCTTTGAGTTGGCGGCACCATTAGGCAGCAATGTTCTCAATAAAATCTTTTCTGAAAACTCAAATGGAAGAATTTAATCGTGAAGTTGTCCTTGGCCTGAGGAAAGCAGCAATAGGAGCTGGATTTTGCCTTATTTTCACACTAGGAAAAACCGTATCACCTGTGTGATTAGTTCTGCTCTTGCAAAAAACACAAGGCAAGCTGTTTTATTGCTCCTTCGTCTGTAATTAATGAATGACAGTCACCATCCTCTACTGAACAGAGTGCTAAGCCTTAAGCTACCTGTTCCACATAACATCTCTCTCTCAGTTCTTATATGGAAACTAGCTGCTACCATAACATTCTCACTTCCGGGATGACAAAGCTGAAGCTTAGAAAATGTAAGTAATGTCACCAATGTCAGACAGCTGGGACGTGAGGGAGCTAGTTTTCTAAGCCAAGTCTCTCTCATTTCAAGGACAACACTTAACCAAGTCTGTCCTGCCTCAGCCACACAGCCCAGCACACACAGCCCAGTTCCCATCCTACCTGTGAGCTGGCATCACTGTTCACAGTTGTTTAAGTCCAGAAAAATCTGTTGCCTGCCTTCAAGTTTTCCTGGCGGGGGCGTGGGGGCGGTAGAAATCAGGTGGAAGGCTGTGCACCTTGATTGCTCAGCCAGCTAAGCACCATCTCCCAGGGAGGGCCCACAGGCGGCCACGTTCCAGGTTCCGAGGTGCCAAGCCCAGAGCAACCGGGCTCAGCTCTTGCGCGGGAAGCTCCTCGACTTCTCTTCCTTGTCCCGTTTAATCACCGTCAGGGCGTGAGTCTCCTTTTCTCCATTTCATCTACCATTTTTTTTCTTTTCCCTCTTCCTTCTCCCTCCCTGTCTCCTCATTCTGAACACTTCCCCCAAACTCTGACACCCACATGTACACATTGAACAAAACAATAATTTACAGCTTTTATTAGTTGTATGAATGGAATGTGTTAAATACAGTGACATTCCCTGTTCATTTCTAACCATGTTAGTTTAAATATCTGAAAATAACCTAAAAAAAATTGAATTACTCTTCTTTTTGTCTTGTGCATTGAGCATCATTGACTTTTTTTCCCTGTGGGTCAGTAATTCACCAAGGAAAAAGAGGCCTAACTCCTGCTGAGAAAATTACTCCAAAACAAGTTCTTTAAAGGACATCTTATCAACCACAAGTCATCAGCTTGACAAGTTCATCTACTAAGAACCAGGCATGTAAATAAAAATAAATATAAATTCCACTGCACTAAAACTTTCACACTTTGTGCATGAGAGAGCCCCTCCTAGCCTCATTCAGACCTTATTTCTTCTTTCTTCATATAATTCTAACCTGTTTGGCTATGTGATTCCCAAGGCTCCTGAAGATTAAAACACGTTAGCAGGGGAGGAGAAGCTCTGTCAGGTTAGCATATTGAATGTAGTAAGATGTCACAGCTTTCATCATTATTGCAAAGTACTTAGGGAAATCCAGCGCAAACTTTAAAAAATAAAAACCTAAAATAATGATGATAGTAACAACATTAGTATTTGTGTAAACACATTTAATAGCATAAAGCATGATATCAGTTAAGACTTTGATTGCAAATGATAGAAAAACCAATTTAATCATGCAAAAAGAAGAGGGAATTTGCTTCAAGGAGAATGGGCTCATCAAAATCCAGAA